ATATATATAACAAATTGATCCTTGGAATTCATTTTGTAATTTTTTTTTTTTTTTGCACGTTTACTTTATTTATATTTGTATGCAATGTTCTTTTTTGTTTTTTTATACGCGTTTTTAAAATCGTGTGTACCATGTGCATGGTACACTTAGGCGGAGAATCAAAGCATACACTTCAACACGTCTATACCCACAAGAGGCACCTTCATGTCATTGCGACAGCACATCCATGCTCGCATGAGGCACGTCCGTGCCAAATTGAGGTTTTGCTACTATTTTGTTCTGGACTAGGGGCACGGAGCAACACGGCGTATTAAGGCAATTTAAGTCGGCTTGCACGTGGACCTTGTTTCCTTAATCAAGGAATTTTTTTGACACTTTCCTAGTCTATGGGATTATAATAAATACCCTTAAGTTATTTCCTAGCCGTTATGATCATTAGTTGAGTAATATTCAGAAATTTGAGCGTATTTTATTTATCTCTCATCTCTGAGTTCCAATAAAGATAACATTAGAAACCCTAGAGAAAATCAATTAGTTTTATGTGATTGGTCTCAAATCTATTCTGATTCTGTATTCCCCAAGATCAATAAAAATTTTACCCTCACCTGCCTGTGGACATAGCCAACGAGTTGTTGGAGAACGACGTAGATCTGTCTACGTTTTCTTGTTAGTTTTGCATTTAATATTTATTCTTTCTTGCATCCGTTATTACAAATTTGTTTCAATTTTTTTTTTCTTCTGAATATCTTATTTTATTATAACTTTTACGAATACCTCACATTTTTTTGAATAGTACAAATACCTTAGATAATAAGAGACATTAATGATCAAAGCTTTAAACTGCAAACATGAAAATGTAAAATGTTAGGAATTTTAAGATCGAAGTTGTAGGTATCGTGCCTTTCCTTGCATTCTTTCCCCTTCGGAAAAACATAAGAAAGAGATGTTGTAACTTGTAAGGTGTTAGTATGGGGTAATTTGAATATTAACCACACATCCTGCAGGGATTATAAATCTGTGCACAAGTTAAAGCCGCTACCAATGTTAATGGTTTTATATTTTTATTCCATGTAATGTGCTTGGTCTAGCCATCCTCTTAGAATTAGAATTTGACAAGACCAAGTAATTTAATGTGAACTCTTTTATGGTTTGAGAAGTCCTTTTACATAATTTGATAATCAAGATATATATGCTAAACAGCTAAAGTCTAATGTGTATGGTATGCATGGAGTGAACCTCACGTTTTAAGCTCTCGACAACCTCATGCGTGTATTGGCTAGTATTTTGACTTTATAACACCAGCTGGCCTAAATTGAAACTATGAAGCTACAAGTCTACAACAAAAAATCCATATCATATCAGACTATTACCAAAACGAGCATGTCTATTATACATCCCGGTGTATCTAAAACATACTAAAATGATTCATAAGTTCGTTTTTAAAAGTTGCGAGACACTTAAAAGTTCACCTTCAGTATATGTATTCTTAAGTACACTCAAATGCATGTAAGAAACTGTAGACCAACGCAGATGAATTGAGGTTGGAACAGTTAGCCAAAAAGCGTGAGCAGCACTATGTAGGAAGTAAGACCAAGTTAAAGGGCAGGTAATACACACGACCAAATGAATGAATATAGGAAAAGAGCCAAAATAAAAATGGGTGAGATTGATGAGTCATATATGAGAAGGATGATCACAACCATTAGATTAGAAGAAACTGAGCCAACTTGGTGGAGACGGCTATAGACAAAGACAGGCTCACCCAAACCAACCAAACTCTTACTTTAATTTGGATTATTGGACCACTTCTTTACTACAAGGCCAGGTCTAGGCTATTCATCAATGGACTATTACTCGTACTATATCTAGCCGTTTGCTTTATTTTTATCATATGTTTGTGCAGTGATATATAAATGCTCTTTCCTTACCTTGTACGGCCCTATGTAATATACTCCCTTTGTCCTTTTTATTTGCATTATATGACTCATAAGCTTGATAGAGTATAAAACATATTCCTAGACTTCAACCATCAGCTTACCATTAGGTTAAGCTTTTGGTTGAGTTGATCCTTTAACATGGTATCGGAGTCAGCGTGACACAAAGGTCACGGGTTCAAATCTCATCCACTCCCCACTTTCAAGTGGAATATTTTGGGAAGGGCTCATGCTGCATCCACGTACATATTCCTGGGCTTCAACCATCAGCTTTACAGTGAACGTTGGGTTTTCATATTTGTCAATGTACATTTTATAATTTTAATATCTTTATTAAGTATAGTTTAGGAAAAATTAAATATTTTAAAGTATATATCGTAATGAATTTGATAAGACCATATATACAGAGTAACTATGTTTTATCTCACGTATAAAGATAGTCAAAGAATTTGTGTGAATAGCGTGAAATTCTCAATGTTACAAGAAAATATATGTTCAATTCATATAAACATATGTGTTCCTTTTTGGTTATCGTAAATTTGTAAGTTAGCAACAATCACTTACATTTTCACTGTTCTTTGATAATAAGCACGATTTTATTTTAGGTCTTTGTCATGTTATAAGTGTTATTTTTAATCGGTTTCCTTGTATCTTCGCCTTACTCACTCCATATATTATTGAGAATTTTATGCACGAGTTCCATAATGTTTGGATGAATTTTTTATTTCTCGAGCTAGTATATTTCTCTATTAGTAGCCAAGTTATTATGCTGCTAAGCAAGGTATGTACAGAGTGATGAGTTATCAAGAATAACAATTGTCTGGGATATATGTTAAATATTGTCTTGGAACAATCTTCACCATTAATTAAATCTCGCTTCAAAAGTAAATAAATAAATAAACCTTTTCATGTTAAAATGCTAGCCTATAGCAGAATTGATTCAATCTAAAAATAGTTTAACCAAAACTCGAACAAAATCCAAAATTAGAAATCAGTATAACTCTGATCCAACAAAACCGAGAATAAAGTTAACATGAAAAAAATCGATACATCTTTCATGATACACTGAAAACCATAAATAATTTAAAAATAACCAGATCGATCCCAATTTAATCCGTATAGAATCGACATCAAATCGAATGACTCATCCCCTAAATTGTAACCAAACATTTTCCGATTGATGCTCAATAAGCACACATGCCACATGATTTCCCCTAATATACAGCACTTGATAGTTGATACAACGTGCTTACCGGCAGTATTTCGGTTTAAGTGGTCCATAATAAACTTTGAATTAGTCTTTTATACAGGCTAGTTGGTCAAAGTTATATGGTTAAGGGATCAAATTGTTCTTTATTAACATTTCCAACGACTCAACAACATGGATTAGATAGATAACCATAAGTCTTGGTCACCCGTAACAAGTTTCTATGACATCAACTTCTAACGCACTTTTCTACTATTCGCTAGGAGTAATTGTTAGGTAACAATGGACAACTTGCCAACGTAATAGCTACTTAACCAAAACAAGGGGCGGCATTGAAGAAAATTTCGACACCGTTAAACGATGATGTAACACGTTATGTAGAAAAACTTGACCCCGATCTGTTTCTTGTTTTGCCAATGTGTCTGCGACCGTACATAGTCATTAGGGTCATGCTGGCCCAACCACGTAACGGCGGCCGTTACGCTTTTCAAAACGCCAAACAAAGAAGTCCAGCATTTGCCTAGGGAACAAATTGCGCATATTCTTTTAACACACGTCATTGGAAAGTGTTAGAATCTGGGACTTGGGAGGGTTATTTGAGGTTGTTTGAGGTCCATTGTCTGCCATTGTTTGGTTTAAAAAGAGAAGGGCATCTCCCATACGTTCTTCTTTGCCTCTTCATCAAATTGAATAGGTGTTAACCCACCGAGAACTTATTCCTTTCACACTTCTCGAATTTTAGGACTATACTAAAAATGCCGTCTTACCCATGAAAGAGATCAGTAACAGCACAAGTCATTTTTACCAGTTACGCGATTATATAGCAATCGTCAAATCAACTTGATGGTAATTGTATCATTTTTGTCAATTCCCAAACAAAGTAGTATGTTCAGAATTTCAATAATACATATTATATCATTACACAATACAATTTTAGAAAATCTGTTTGCTTTTTCAATGATTTAATCACCTCCGACTCTCCATACTTGAAGATGTAAAATAATATCACTAGACAACCCTTAAATTTGTGCGATAGTCTCATCCAAAACTTTACTCATTATTAGGAAATCGGGAACTTGCCGGCCCAGCCGGGCAGGAAGGATCAAGACACATAAGGGATAAGATTAAATGGGGAGCATCACATGTGCCTTGATTGAGAAACTGAACATTGGTGGACGCCCAAAGCTCATAAAGATGCTCCCTTAGAGGCTGGACCTCCCCATGATAACCATAACCTTTATTTTATCCTAGCAACAATGATTGAGACAAGCAAGCTAACTATCTAGCACTAGGCAGCAAGTACACAGCTTATGGGTTGCTACAAGTTAATCCTAGTAATAAGTATGTTCTTACATACCCTTCTCTAACTTGAACATCGGAAATCACATCTATTCAGGAGAATGAAACGATACATAGAAGAACTTCCAAAGAGTAATATGCTCCTGCTTTGACATAATAGGGAAATGTTGCATGACTTCAAAGCAGAGTAACACAAGCTCAACTAATAGACTCCATCACTAATAATCACAAATTAACAATGCTTTTGCCTACAAAAGGATCTTGCTCTCTCGGAACAAAGAGTAATAGAGCTCAAAAGATATGACACAAATGATCAAACAAAATCTACAAAGAGTTCTCATAGCACCTCAAACTACACTAGAGCAATCACCAATTAATTGGCCAAATTCATCAACAAGAAGTTACACCCAGGGAAACATGAATTGACACAAACACATATACTTTGTGGTGCTTGAAGTTACTTAACTAAATAATTATAAGCAATGCATATATAAACATTGTTAGAAAAAGGCAAAATCCAGATTTCAGAAAATCATCATTATTGACTAAATTGTAGTATATGTATGAAATTGTGCGATTAAATAACTATACAGAAAGCTGAAAACAAACCCTCAAGCAAACCACCACTTCCAGAATACGTCAATATGAATCCCGCCTTCTCTATTCAAATCATTGTTATACATAAAATTGAGTTGAGCAAAGAGCTACACACATTGAATTAACATTATTCAACAGCTCTCTTTTATGTCAAACTAAAAGAAGGGGAAAAAAAAAACAGAAAAAAACTATGATCTCGGATTTGCTACCTACACATATATAATCAGCCAAATTGATATTCGATCATTGATCAAACAGGAAAAATAAATTAGAGAAACTCACAAATCCACATCAACTAACCTACTCCGATCACCCTGATACAGAATTTTAACTCCCCATTGATCTGAGCTCATCCAATGACAACTTAATTTGATCTTGAACCAATTCCAAACGCTTTGAATACACCTCAAGCTCCAATATTTGCTGTTTTCTCCACTTCTCATCCATTACATCCCCACCACTACCCCCAACCGAATTCACCCCTGAAAAATTCAGGGGAACCGCGTTCAATGCCAATGCCCCGACCCCCTTAATCCCACCACTACTGCCTCCAAACACCGTTCCATTCACCGTATTATTCACCATATCCTTAACCATGGGCGACAAACAACTCCTCACAGCCTCCTCTATCAACCCCTGCATTGTTGAACCAAGATTGACATTACTACTACTAGTAATATTATTATTATTGTTGTTGCTATTATTATTATTATTACTATTTTCAATCAAATTACCACCCTCACCACCAATCATTCCCCCCAAATTCACATTTCTCACATACTTATCCTCAACCTTCCCCACCCTAGGCCTCTTCCTCGACGACAATTTCGCAGCAGGACTATGCAAATTCGACATCATAATATCAAAACCAGCAACATTACTATTATTATTAGCATTAGTATGACTACGACTGTTATTATAACTACCACTGCTACCTGCCTTATGATCAACCATCATCGGTGTCGAAACCGTGCCTCCTCCTCCTCCACCACCAGCACTATTGTTGAGATTGATATGGCTGATAACAAAGCTGCTATTCGGCGGGCGTGGCGGAGTAGCGGATGCGAAATTGGTGCTAAGGTTAGGGTTAGGGTTTTGATCGTCATCATCAAATTCAGCAACACCGCGAAAATTCGGAGAAATATTACTCCAAATCTTGCTAGAAAGCTCAAAAGTAGCCTGATCATGAGGACTCTTAAACACAAATTCTTTTCCAGAACTCATCTTACTAATAACATTCCGATACTTCTTCTTCAACCTCCTCAATTTCTCCACCAATTGATTCTTATTAAACTCCAATTGCAGCTTGGACTTGATCTGATCATAAAACGCCGCCGTATCATGATGATGACCAGACGACGTCGTACCACGACTCGAGGTATAATCCAGAAACCCTTGAAGAAGCTCGATCTCATCTTCATCAGTCCATAACCTCTGAAAAAGCCTTCTAGAATCATCGATCGGCTTCTTCTCAGGATTCACAACCGGCGAAACCGCCAACGAAGACGACGACGAGAGAGGATCAACACGGTGTCGTTTGGGATCAGGCAAAGCAATGGTAACAGCATTAGCAGAGTTGTTGTTGGGAGCAGGAACAGCAGCAGAAACGGAAGAAGGAATAGCGACGGTAACAGCGGTGGAATCAACGGCGGCGACGGTGGAATCTTCTTCGCCGGAAGAAGATTCGGAATCAACGGCGACATCATCGTCGGGAGCACCGGGGTCGTTGAGGGGTTCGCTGTCGTCGTCATCGTCGTCAAAGTCGTCGTCGTTGTAGATAGGGTGGTCTTCTTCGGAAGCCATGGAAGAGAGAGAAAATGGGGGATGAAGGTGAGGTGGGTTTGTGGGTTAGGGTTAAGGGGGGAAGGGAGGAGAGAGAGAAAAAGGGGGGGGACCGGGTGGTTAGGAGAAGGGAGAGGGAGGGAGGTGTTCACGAGTAGTTTGTTGAGAGGATGTGTTATTGTGTGTATTGCGTGTTGGGGTTGAGTTTGTTTTGTTTTGTTTGGTTAGAGAAAGAGAGAGAATGAAGGGGGAGCCACTTGTTTGTTTGTGTTGTTTATTGTGGGTTAAAATGGGTTAAGTTTTTTAATTTAAGTGTGGGTTGATTTGGTATTGGTTTAGGAGGAGGAAGACTAAATTAGGATTTAGGATTTTGTCTATTAATCAATTGTGGTGGGTTGGGTGGGTGTATTCACAAGTCTTTACTCAAATATGTTGTGGATGGATGGATGGACTTGGGGTGGTTGTTTTTGGTTTAAAAAAAAATGGTTGTTTTATTGGGTTTTATGGTCTACATGGGATTGAATCTAGGGTAATAAAGATGTTGGCTTGTTTTTTATGTAGGGCTAAAACGAAAAAAACAGTGGTGAGCTGTTTTGCCTTGATTTATTTCTAACAACGTGTTTCTTTGTTATACTTTGAGAGTGGTTCACTGGTCTTAGATCGGAACTGAAAACAGAAAATTTAAAATTCAAGATCTAGAGACCATGTCGATTTCACGTGGATTAGACTCAGACCGATTTTTTATTTTTTCTATTTTTTTATTATATTATATTATATTATATATATATATATATATATATATATATATATATATATATAACAGAAATGAATGTATTGATGACTATTTTAAACATTGAAATAAAATTGCTAATAATATAAAAATATTTAGCGTGAGGTAAAAATTAAACATTATACGGAGTAGTATGTACAAAATTGATTTTTAAGGGGTTAAGACCACACCGGATCGAAGACCAATTTTAAATTTCTCAACTCAGAGACTAGACTATTCTCTTTCGGTCGAGTCTATTTTTCAATCCAAACCGATATTTGAACACCCCTAGTTTTGACAAACCTTCATTGAATTATTAAACAATTAAACTTTGCAAGTTTTTCACATATTGTTTAAATGGGGATGTAGTTTGGATACCTAAATTAAAATAGCAAGTTACCATATAGCTTTAATTCATGGTTTGTAAAATAGAAATCAAAGATTTATTGCTTTAAAAATGAAAACAACTCTTACTTAAGCAATTGCGTTTGTGGATTTTTTTGAATTATTTAGGCCTCGTTCACGTCACCTTATTTTTGCTGAATTGAAATTATTTTTTACTGAACTGAAATTATTTTTGCTGAACTTAAATTATTTTTACTGAACTGAAATTATTTTTACAGATTTTCTGTTATATTTATTCTTTAAAGTTACTGATTTTTACTGAACTGAACTTATTTTTGCTGAACTAAAACTATTTTTACTGAACTGAAATTATTTTTAAAGAATATTATTTTTTTTAAGGTGAAGTGAACAGGGTCTTAATCAAGTATTACGGTAAATCTGTATGAATTTGCATCTGAGTAATAAAGACGCTAGCATGTTATTTTTGATTTTTGAAATGTCATTGAATTCACATTAGGTATAAAAAACTTAAGGCAAAATTCAAAAGGAAACCATTTTGTGTTCTTTGCCAAAGAAAGAAAGAACGTAAATAGGAATTGTTTCTCGTTATTTGTTTCTTTATAACTGTTTGTATCACTTGATTTATGTTAAAAGAATGGAAAGTTACTTTGATTTCTGAGTTGATAATTGAGAATCCATTTATTAATAAACTAGGTTAGGTTTGTGCGATGCACGATTTTAACAATAATTTTTTTGGTTTAGTTGTGTGTAATACATAATCGTAGTATAATAATTTAAGTAAAATATAATAAAATGATGAATTAATAAATAGAGAAATCCCAAGTTCATACAATTTATATAAAATATAGTATACGGTGTAGGAGGAAAGATAATGTTTATAGATAATATAAATGAAATAGTTCAACCACCTTTTTTTTTTTTTACTCCATTGAAAATTGTGTAGTTAGTCAATTCAAATATAAAAAATCTTTTAGAAAATGTATAATTAATTTAATGATGTCACTAATAGTTTTGGCAGGAAATTTTTTTATGAGAAAATGACTTGTGGATAGTAATGATGTTAGCGGTAATTTTTTTTTTTGAAACCATGTTAGCAATAATTACTTTAGTTATAGTTATAGATACTCCTAAAAAATAAAACTTTCAATATGAAACAATAATGATCCCTAACTAAAAGGAGCTAATAAGTTACCATGTATCTTACCTTAATAAATACGAAGTACTTCGTAGGGGCATACTTCTTCCGTGCGTCTTTCTCGTGGCGGAAACAGAACAGTTTATAACTTTATAATATTAGTATTAAGTTCAAAGATCTATTGCTTGAAAATGTAACAACTCTTATTTAAGCATTACACAAATTTTTATTAGGGGTTACTTATTCAGGAGTTACTCAATCAATCAGGTGTTACTCGGTCATGGGTTACTTATTCAGGGTTTACTCGGTCGGTCAGGGGTTACTTGGTTGGTCAGGGGTTACTCTCACACAAAAAACGCGCTAACCGACTAAGTAATCCTAAAATAAGTAACTCTTAACCGACTAAATAACATCTAAATAAGTAATTTCGGCGAAAACGCGCTAATTGACTGAGTAACCCAGAATAAGTAATCCTTGACTGACTGAGTAGCCCCTAAATAAGTAACCCCGGTCACAAAGATAAAGGTCTGTAAACATTAATAGGATATTTATTATTAGAATTCAACATAATTTAATGAATAGCGACTAAATATTGAAGAAGTAGAAAGAGATGCAAAGGGGAAGTTATTCGTTCCCTCTAGGTTTTCTCCTTGGGAGGGTTTTCTGGTTCTCTCTATGGTTTCTCCTTAAAAGTGTTTTCTAGCCTACATTGCTAGATTTTTTTTGCTTTTTTAAAGGTTTTCCTTCACTCTTCTTCTTATCTCTCTTTCTTTTTCATCTCTTTTCTTCTGGTCTCATTTGTGAATCGTTGTAGGGGCTTCCACCGGTGGTAAGCCCCAAAAAACTTTTTAATTGCTTTCAATAAATGGATCTCATCTTTAAGATGGTAGTTATTCTATTAGGCTTAATTTCTTTTATTGTTCATCTACCGAAAATTGAAGAGTTAGGGTTTCATAATCTCCGAAAGTATCTAGAAGATTATATGAGTATTTTCACTCAAACAACTATTCATCAGTGGATCTCAAGCCGAATTAGTGCTAACTCACAGATTGTATAGCTTAGGATGAAAATTTTTACTAAGGCGATCGTTGATTGAATTTGCGATGTAACTAGTTCTAAGGTGATTTGTACTTGTGTTGGTATTCTAAATTTCCTATGAATTATATTGTTTGTAAGTGCTGATTGTCTATCTTTCATTAATGAAATCATTTTTCTTCTTGTAAAAAAATAAAAAATAAAAAAAAATTGTCCAAAAGGATGTAAAGAACAGACCTTAATGTGCAGAGGATAATATGCTAGTGCGTAGTGCCAAGAAAGTAGAATAATATGATCTATTGCTATAATGCTATGGATATCTAAATCCATATTTTTAATTTTTTTGAAGTATCCTAGAAGAAGTTTACATGTCACGTGGTAATGTGGAACTCTCTATCATTTACCGTTTTCTGATAAAAAATTGTAATATGATTTATATAAGATTTGAACATGCAACCTCAAATTTTACATTAATCACTGATAATTTATATCATATTATATGTTCTTTGTGCAATGAAGAGAATATTAGGTCATGGGTTAACCATATAATTGTTAATTCCATATATTGACCCAAGGCATTCTCCGGACCCAAATACTAGTATGATTGCATATAGTGTCATTTATTGAAGGATTGTATCAAGAATTTGCAGGTGAGGTAAGGATCAAATGTCAAATGATAAGATTCTTGCCCTTTCAAATGCAAAACTTGTAAAGCAACATGGAAAACATGTGATCATCAAATACAATACTAGTATTAATTAAAATGTTTGTAAAGATTAAGATGAATCGACAAACAAGAGACGACAATGTAATTTAATTGTCGCTTTAAAATTATCCAGCATAAGCTTAATTCCAATCCTACTTATATATCTTAATAAAGCTTAATTTGAACACCTTCTTTATCCTTTTCCAAGGACCAGCTAAATTGGACATTCAAGTTTATTTGTCTATAGAAATATCAACTATATGGACACCTTTTAATGATGTCTCTTAATAAAAGGATTTTTATTATAAGCTGAATGTTATTAGGGCAATTGATAAGAGGTTAGTCAGTACAAAATATAAAAGTAAAAGGTCATGCCCACATAGAGATGAGCATATAGGTAAGGCTGGCAAGAGAGCTAATCGGGCACAACACGAAATACCCTAACCTAGTAGGAGTCTGTCACATGTCTAAGGGAGACAATGCACAAGAAGCACACTAATGGGTTATGGGTTGTATATGGACACTGCACGAGAGGCACACTCATGGGTCATGGGTTGCACAACGACACTACATGAGAGGCACACTAATGAGCCATGGGTTGCGCATGGACATCTTTTCATAGGCATGAGCCCAACATGAGCGCAACAGATTGACCTACTTATATTTAATCAATTTACAAAAAATCATGTACGTATAAACTATTAAAGGGGGTCAACGCAGATTCTTAGTTGCACAGTAGCTGGTTGTACCACCCTCTAAAGACAATTATTTTCTACTAAAACGCACACAACGTTTATCCTCCTCCTTCAATACTTGTTGATCCAAATTATCCATTGCTCCATATTTTTCCTTCTGCAATTTAAATACTTTTCAATAATGTATTTTGTTTTTTTTTTTTTTTTGAATGGCTGTATTTTGTTTTTTATTTCCTTTTTTTAGTGCTTAATTAATTAATCAAGCTCCTGAATGACAATTGCTTGCAAGTCACGGTGAATTGCTTTCTCCAGCAATTTCTCCCTCCTCAAGTACTTATTTCCCTCTCTCCTCAAATATTTCAATTTGTAATTATAGTTTGTATAATTTTATTGATCTTTTAGAGTTTTTGTTTAATTATTTGAGTTCTTATGAATTTCTGATAAATATCAATTGAATGGCTTAATTTGAGATAAATATCAATTCATTTTAGTCATTTTCTCTCTCCTCGTTTTTTTTATTATTTATTTTTAGTCATTTGATTTCCAATCATGTTATAGATCGATAATTATTTTCTTAA